TGCTATGGACACTTGCCCTGGCACAGATCTATCGTGAGCTTCTTGCAGAGGGGGACTCGCTCCTCACAGCACCTTGGCTAGAGCAAAGCTCCACGATTTATGCGGATGATATACATCTCAAGGATACCATGCAGAACACTCGTGAGCTGGACGACATGGTGTATCGCTTCAGTAAGATTCTTGATGCTCTTGCTGCTCACGGTATGGTCATCAACTCGGCCAAATCAGCGCTGTTGCTGCGACACAAGGGAAGCTTCATCAAAGGCTGGCTGCGACGACATCTCAAACACGCACCTGAGGGAGACCTACTTCGTTTTCGTAGCCCATCGGGAAAGGTGTACGAAATCCCGTTGCGTGACCACCACACGTACCTAGGCATTCGCATCTCATTTCATTCCCAGGCCAAACAAGCAGTCACCTATCGGCTACAGGCTGCGAATCAGGCATGGCAAAGACTTCGTGGTGTACTATGCTCTACCAGGCACCTTGCTCAGACACATCGTCTCAGTCTATGGAAATCCACAGTGCTTCCCACGCTGCTCTATGGCATCGCGGCAACCAACCCAGGTGCCAAGGATATCCAGCGTATGCAGCAAATGATGACCAAGCAGGTTCGAGCCATCACTCGATCTTTTGCACATCTTCAGAAAGAATCCACAAGTGACCTCCTGCATAGATGCTCTCTGTGCACAATACTGGAGCATCTCCAGCGGGAAGCCGCAGCCTTGCATAGCAGCCTGCTTAGTCTGAGTACCCAAACGAGTTTCGTGACCCAGGCTCAGGTGGAAACAGCTCGAGACACTGCTGCTACGCTCCACCTACAAGTACAACGCCAATGGCAGGTACCTCAAGGTGACAATGAGGGCATCACCGAACCTACCGGGTCTTTACCTCCTTTCGGCTTCTACGCTCTCACGAGGCTAAATGGCATGGACTTAAGACACCTGCTGCTGTCCCAGTGCCTTTTGATAGGTATGCACATGGAACAGAAGGACCCCCAACGTGCAGACATTGTGCCCATCCCTTCCGACAATGGGACGGACTTGTCAAACACATCAAACGCAATCGGTGCCAGGTACTCCGTAGACTCGCCACCAAATCTCCCGCTGATGCCCAACCCTCGGTTCCGGGATCAAGTGAATCCGATCCTTTACCAGTCCCTGCATCGGTCACTCTGCCCCCTCAGGCATCCTCTCAGGAGACCCACACCCTCCAAGAGGATCAGGCTGCTACGCCTACTACTATTCCCGATGTAATACCTGAACCCCCTGTCACAGATGCTCCACTGCAGGAAAGCTCCACTACACCGAGCCATGAGGCTGTTCCCCTTCATCAGCAATCTCATGTTCTTGCTGCACTACGTGCACGCAGGTGGACTGACCTCCTTGAGAAGCCGGAGATCCAATCGTATCTCCAGCACCATTGCCCGCTGTGTTATCAGTGGCTAGCCACTCCTACCAGCATCAGGAGAGGCAATTTTGGGCCCAGGCTGGTCCGGTCAAGAGGGAACAGGAACCGCGAAGGGATATGCTGCAACCAGCAGAGCAATCCAAGAGGCAGCGCCTGGCACCGCAGGATCGGAACAAGGGCAAGGGCAAGGGTACCAAGGGCAAAGGCAAGGGAAAGCAGGGCCTACCAAGTCCAACAAGTGCACACCCGGTCATGGGTTACACAAATGGTTTCGGAAGCCATCCACCCAATCCCTGGACACAGACACAGGACTTGCAGCCACTGGGAAGTCCGGATCCCGAATGGATGGAGCACAGGATGAATCGACTGACTCAGCTGGTCCTTCGTCAGGAGCAAATCATCTCAGCCATCCGTCAGGATCTGGTCCTCTACCTCTTCGTACGATCTGGACCAGAAGGGATGGTGCCAGTCTTATGCGATGCAGCGGAGAAGTGGAGGAAGATGAAAGAGGAAGAGCCCGAGAAGATCACTTACTCCCTCAAACTCATGCTGTTCAAGCAACTGCTCATCACCTTGCATCAGAGTTTGACCACTATGATCGCGGACGAGGATGCCCTCGCCAAAGCCAAGACCCTGAACTGGATCGACGACCAGAAACATTGGAAACATCTCACCTGGAATCCCTCCAAACAGTGTCTGGAAGTAGACAACTCAGTGAGGCCAATACCGGCGGAGGACCTGTTGGCCCAACTGGTTCAGATGAGGAAGGCTGTTACGGAGGAGACCCTGGTGAGATTCAAGTCCATGCGGAAGCTCACCACGGAGGTGACCTCCGACTGGATCCAATTCCAGATATGCTTGTCACTCCGTCCAGAGGGTGGAGCCATGTGGAGCACGCTGAACCAGTGGATCGGTCAAGCATCGTGGCACACACTGGGATGCCGGCTTCGTCGGGACAGACCGAACTACGACACACTGGTCCAGGAGGTATGGCAGCATCAGATGCAGTACTGAGTGTGCGCCCCAGTATCAAGGCAGTTCTTCGACTGATCCTCCATAATCCATCGAATTTGTGCTACCTACACTCTACCATCTATGCCCTTTTGTGGACAATTCTTCAGGCCAGGCTACATGATGCATACATCTCGCCTCCACCGCAGGCTCTTACCATGCTGTGTCCACCAATGACAGATTCGCCCAATTGCCCCATTCAGGTGCTCCATTCGGTACCGTGGCTTATGCTGCTGCAAGCCTGGCCTTCTGTACACCGTCAGCATGATGCTGCAGAGCTGATACAGTACCTCTTACCCAGGTTCTCGCATAATGGGTTCAATGGTGGCTGGGAGGCCAGAAACTTTGCACCTGGAGGTATTGTTACTCTTGACACGGGGCCTACCCAAGCTCCAATTCCGATTGCGCTACCGGCAGGTCCATGCTTGGAGCTTCAGGAAGCCATTGATGGGTGGAGTGCTCAGGTCACAGCCCGTTATGCACTGCTGACCCCGTCTTCGCTACTCTGCATACAGCTCCAGCGATTCACGAATGCTGAGGGAGACATGCGCAGGGACACCAGACCAATGGTTATGGCCTCGACTACAGTTCGTATGCCTATCTTTGCAGGGCTGAGCACCATGCAAGTTCGATATGTTCACTATCAGGTCGTCGCTGTACAGCTTCACTATGGGGCCACTCCTGATATGGGGCATTACAGAACTATACTACGAGGGCAGCCGCTGTTTGGCGAAGAAAAATGGTGGATCACTGATGACTCCTGCACTGCCAAGTCAGTTGGCACAGAACATGATGGCAACATATATATAGTGTGGCTTCGTCAGGTACTTCCACCCGAAGCCTGATGCTGAGCAAGTGTAGTCTTAGTGGATGGAGCTGGCACTGCCCTCCAGAATCCAAAAGAGGTTCCGATACCCCGAATACCGGGCTATCGTCAGCTCGCTAGGCGAATCTGGACACTTTCGCTGCGTGGTGAATGAATACTACTACTACTACTACGACTACGACTACGACTACGACTACGACTACGACTACGACTACGACTACGACTACTACTACTACTACTACTATACTACTACTACTACTACTACTACTACTACTACTACCGCTACTCTTGCTGCTGCTAGTAGTGGGGAAAGTGGTTGGCGTTCCAAGAAGAGCAGCAGATGTGTATTGCGAGAGCCATTCCAGTGCCTAGCTTGACTGCCAGTGCAAGCATTTTCCAAGAGCAGGTGTCTGCAGTCGATGTTGCTTGCTTTGCTTACGTGCTCCGGCCCATTATTGGTATGTTTTTTTTCAAAGTTGGACGCTCGTCCAATGCCAGGTGACCCATGTGGCTGCTTCCCCGTAGCTTGAGTCAAAGACTTCAAGAGCTGAGGCTGCAAGTGCATATTGGGCTTGTATCGACATCGGTTGCATGTGCAACCTCCAGGCCGGGTTCGGGCCGTCTTGACCGCGAACATGACTTGGGATTGGGTGGCCCGGGCCCCTCAGGCCTGGCTGCAGCACCTGCACGAGCGGCCGTCCTTCAAGACTGGCCTGACGATCCCATTTGCGAGGCAGCGCGAAGTCTTGTAAACCTAGGCAGACATGAAAACAGCCACATGTCAACGCAGTGAGGCCTAGTCGGCTTGGCATTCATCTGGAGTTTGAGCTGCTGCAAGGCCAGCATTCTTTGGGCCGCCCTGGGCAACAGAGGCGGATATCGCGGCAACGAGTATGCATCTAAACGAGGTTCGCTACACTCTCAGGGTGCACTGAGCCGGGATGGGCTGGAAGCGACTTTTATTTGCGACAGGGTCCTAAGAGTGTAGCGGAGGATCGTGTTGTTCAGTTGGGCTGCTCGTCTCTTCCGGGCCGAGGCAGAGATCGGGGCCAATGCTGCTCAGTTCACTATTCCTCAGAAGTAAGCCGGGCGGAGGCCGCAAGACCGTCAAATCGTGCCACTTGTATCTTCTGTGCGTAAAACGTACGTTCAGCGAAGATCCTCCTCGACAAGCCTTTCGACAGGAGCGCTGAACCTGAAGACACTCATGGCGACGAACTTCACAGACACAACATCGCTGAAAAGCGGGCAACATCACCGACTACTGCTGCAGCTGATGCCCATCGGGTGTCGTGACAAGCCGAGCATGACCTCCGTCGCCGTCGCCCTTTGACATGGAAGGAAGCATGAGCTAGCCACTCCCAAAACTCAAGATGATTCAAGAGCTTGCTGTCTGCGCAGAGAAACATGACAGACCTGTGCAATGTGCTTCGTTTCGCGTTTGCTTGAAAGGTGTTCAACATCAGGTAACCGGATGTTAGAACGAGCGCTCCCGTGCATTGGGTTTCATATTCGGTTTTCCGGCTCGGAAGCTGTTGGATATCTACTGGCGCCAAGAAGCTGGGATCAGCATGAGCAGGCCGTGAGTGCAAAGCACATCAGGGCAGAACTCAGCAGCAGGGCTGCCCAGCATGCAGAATCGAAACAGAGGCTTCAAAGCTGGCTTCTTGCCAGTACCAAAAGTTGGACATATACTTGCAATAATTAGTGAAGCAAGAACGGTTAGTAGGAGTATTTAGGCTGTGTGGTCGAAATGTCGGTCACCGATCCCGACTTTACGGCCATGGGCAGTTTCCATCTGCTGGTGACGGACCTTGTGGCCACCCATGCCTTTCGGCAGGCAATCCAAGTTCTTGGCAGCAAACTGCAGCAGCCAAGCTCTTGCAGGTGATACCCATGTTTTGCCGTTTCTAAGGACAGGGTTGTGTCCGAGCTGCAGCAGCAGGTCGACGACCTGCGAGCTCAGGTGGCAGCCTATCGGAGGCCCTTCGCGGATCAGAAGACATCGGAAGCCAAAACATCGAGCACCCAGCCCACGGTTTTCTTGTCTCCTTCCGCTCGAAGGTGTCCTGGACAAGACCTCGCCCTAGCTCCACAGAAGGCCTGTCATCCTTAGATACGGCAAACGTCCGCAAACATGTCGCTCTACTGCATGATGGCTACTACGCATTGGCTTCACATGGCAGCTGAGATGTTTACTCCACCGCTGCCCAAAGTCGCAGGAAGTGGCGGACGAGCTCCGCGTCCCAATGGCGGATCGAGTTCTCGAACCGGAGGCGTTCCCCGGGAGCATTGGGCCGCGGTGAACAGCGTGCAAATGCTGTAGTCAGGCACATCCAGCGGATCAATAGGTGATTTCGGAGTTTGCATCGCGTAGGCTGACGGACGCCGAACTGTTTTTCGGCCCTTGTCGGCCTCTGCTCTGGCACATGCAGATGCACCTGCATCGTCAAACCTTGAACATCGTAGGCTGTTGTGCCAGCTTCTGCGCAATTCTACATTACGAGTTCCTGCGTCAGTTCGAGCATCCACAGTTCCACGCGCAAGTAGATTGAATCGGCCTCAGTTCTCTCACTGAGTATGACACGTGTAAATATCTATGACTCTTGTTGTCTCTGTTTAAATGTCCTGGCTTGAACCTGAGATAATCCGAGGCTGCACGGCGCACCCATCAGCCTGGAGCAGGTCTCGCTTTCCGAGGCAACCGCGAACGATCTCTGGAACTGCGCAGCTGAGCAGCCGCGTTAGTTAGCAATCCGCAGAGTTCAGCGGGTCCTTCGACTCAGTGAGAATTGCCGCGTCGTTCAGGAGCCTTTCGTCAAGGTCTTTGGCGAGGAGGTGGCATTCTGGAGAGTCTAAGCCTTTTGTCAGCTTTGTCCAGCACGTCCCCATGAGGCGAACCTGTAATTTAACAGCATGTTAAGTTTACCCATGGATCATTCGGCTGCCATTTTGGATCAAACCGTTGCGGGCAGAGCCAAACCGGCGGACGAGCGAGCTCAAGTTGTGCCGGGTCCGTTGGCAAGGCTCGTAAGGCTCGGTTCTGCAGCCTGGGAAAGGATGTTTCAAGCACCGGTTCGGCTTGCGCTTGCGCCGGGACCCTGCTGCCGCTTTGTGTCCCTGGAGAGGGCTTGTCGCGCGCAGGTCCGGTCGTCGCGGACGCATCGCGGACGCATTTCGTGCACCAGCAGGAAATGATGATGAAAATCCACGGCACGGCATGGCAGTCGAACAAGCAGTCATCGCCAGGGCGGAGCCAGCCTTGCGCAGGCATCGGTTTTGGCCTCCCGCGAAACTTCTGCTGCGAGCACGGCCCCGACAGCCCCACGACGCAGGTCCGCGATCGCCTCGCTCATATCTTTGAGCGCGCGGCGTTGCATCAGCCAGGAGTTGCTCGGTGCCGCCAGCAGGAGTGGAGAGCGCAGAGGGGCGAGGGGTTCGCTTGGTCGCCTGCATGCGCCTGCATCCTTCAGCAAGGGTTGCCCGCGGTTGATGTCACGCGAGCTGAGCAGGACTGATAGTGACTGGTCTGAGAAGCTCACTACCCTTTCTTGGCGCAGGGTGAGACCCTCGCTCGGTTTGTTGAAGCAATGGGGACTGTGGGGACGAGCCTACTTGATTTTCTCTGGGCCGTGCCCGTGCACTCGTCCGCCCGATATTCGCCGTCGCTCCCGGACCAAGCGCAACTGTTGATCTGGGAGGGGATTGACACGAAATGTGGATCAAGCAGTGTCTGATGATCGGAGCACGACTTGGTGACAACGTTGTGTTGCTGCAGACGGGGCGGCGGTGTGGTGGGAGCCATGCGGCGCACTGCTGCAGATAGAAGATGACTGGAAATCAAGATGCGCGTGCTGATGGTGATATGGTGATCGCCCATTCCTGAACCGCTTGAATCGCATGCTGCTGCTAGGCCTGTCAGATGTTAGGGCATAGGATCCAAAGACGGGGGGGTGGTTGACAAGGTTGATTTGCTGACATATTGGCGGGGTTGGTGTTTCAGGGCTCCAGGAACATGCCGCACGGCTTAGGGTGCAAGCAATCGGGTGGTTCTAGCAATGGCGGCGGTTTGTGCAACCTCATACTCCGTGCCTGTGCCGATTCCAAACACCGGCTATCCCGCGAGCCGCAGCCCAAAGCGATCTCTGCCTCCTGGCGGTTTTCTCGCTGATCTTGTCTTGGAGCGACGTGCATTTGCCTGCCTCGTTCATCCACGGCGGCGCCAGCTGATGGCGATCAATTCCCGTTGCAGCCATCAGTGGACGTTTCCTTCTTTCAGCCGTTGCAGGACGCCGGTGCCCACAATCCACGGCGAGGGCCAGCATGCGGCGCAGCAAGGACGATCAATGCTTGTTTGCGAAGTCTACCAAGGATGCTGAAGCAGGTTACTGTGCATTCCACATGTGGCACGCCGCATTCCTTCGTGAAGTCCAAACGGCCGCGGTTCGGCTTACTCGCCGTTGTGCTATGACACCGAGCCCCGGAAAACAGCGCGTGCGGATGGCCAGTCATCATTGAACTCCGGCATACTCCGGCCAGTACAACACATCGCTATGACCGCCAGCGCAATGACCCCAGAGGAGCTCCGAGTCGCCGAAGACAGTGACCTTCGGAAGGGTGGTGGCGAATTTGGCCGGATGCATACCGCCACTGTCATCATGTGAGCATGCCTTGTGTTGCGTCGTAGCGATTTGGCACGAAGAGTGGGGTGAACCGGCGTACAAGGTGAACGCTGGCCTACTGTTCGGACCGAGGTTGGCTGTCACCCTGTTTCGTCAGTGGAGCCGATATGCTGAGGCGAGCTGACCTTCACGCTGGTTTCCGCTTATCTCGACGACTGTCAAAGTTCTGATTGGCGCTCAGCCAGAGGCTCCGGGCAATGGGCAAAAAACTGTCTCAACAAGGCGCTCCCCATTTGTGAAGTGCGAGGTCGTTTCTCGGCATTTCTCGGTCTGGAGTTCAAACTTTCCTTTATTCTCACCGAAGGATATGGGTCCTTGTTTGTGCGGGCTAAGCTGGTGACAAAAGTCGATCCGCCTAGCAGGTGCTGCATCGAAGCATGCTCAGCTTCCTTGAGCTTGGCATGTCCGGGCGAGGTGTGGGAGGTTTGGCAAAGATTTATCATCGTTTCGAGGCCGGCGACCACAAAATTGTTCAATTGGGGTTGCCATGTGTCCTCTATGCGGTGACGGCGCGGCATTAATGCGTTTCGTGGGAGGCGTGGTATCTGGTTTACAGACTTGTTTGCGTCGTTGGCCTCTCTGTTCTGGGAGTGGGTGCCATCCAAATGCAATTGGGCAGAGGTCATACCCCGCAAAAGCCGAACCGACTGCTTATTTCGGAAGAGTCCATTCCACTAATCATGCTGCCATGCCGGCCTGACAAAGACCTGCAAGGCCTCATAGAAGAGTGGGCATACGAGCAAGGGGCAGGCCACCGTGTTGCACTGGTCCAACCGCCAAGAATCTTCAACGTTAAACTCATGCGCTTTCGCATGGATCAACGTGGCAAAATAACCAAGTTCAGGCTTGTTGCGGTACCCTTTCCGAAGCTTCAGATCCACTTTTCTTGATAGCATCGAGACGTGCATGAAGTGGTCTGTTCTGCAATCTGGAGGGTTTCATCTTGGAAACACTCCCAGAACAGGCAACTACCTGGCCGTTGAGCAACCATAGGCACTACCAACATCATAAATTGAGGAGACCGACCTGCTTTGTACAGAAGTCAACACGGAGCCCTGCGGTTCGAAACCTGGTATAGATTGAGGGGAAATCCCGAAGCCTAAGTTGCGCCGCCATCCCTCAGGATGCCGCACATCCGGCCGAGTATGCATATGAATGTACATGATGATGATGATGATGTTCCGGTAGAAAAAGTTGTTTGGCCCAGATACAACATGATACAACATGTATCAGAACCAACTGGTATGTGCTTCTGTACGACCGGCTGTAACAAAGCAGCATCGGTTGAGGATAGCTGTCCCCGGCGTGCCGATTTGACCCTACCAAAAATACACAGCGCCCGCCGAACCGTTGTCGCGACGGAAGCCTGTGAATGAAAAAGGCACCTTTCGCGCAGGGGCTCCTCCGACCCCTGGTATGTGGCTCATGGCTTTGCTTCGTCGCCTTTTCTCTTCCCTCATCTGCTTTGGGCTCTGCCTTCCAGTGCGGTTATCCGAGTGGTGCAGTACTTGTAGTGCTTTGGGGGTATTGCCATGAGTCGCTTGGATGTCAGAGTGAAGCGGGCTGTTGTGACCAGTCGTGTGAAGGGCCCCTGTGGACGTCGGTGTCCGGCACATGTGCAGCCTGTAGACTTACCCCCAATGCCCATTTCGAGGGAGTCTCGCGTTGTATGGCGACCCCACGAGCTGAAGGGGAAGAAGAGAGCGTCGCCGAGTGATGTGGGTATGCACCAGACGCATCCAGGAATGTGACATTACATGTGCTGCATCTGACCTCAAAATCCACCGGTAGTCACGGGCAACCCGACCATAGCAGTAGAATGGATAGCTTGCAGGTGAAACACCTGGGCCTACGAGTAGCGTGGAGCGCGCAAAGGCGCGTGGCCGGGATATCGTGACATATTCTTCATCGTAGCATATTCTTCATCACTCCAACCTGGCTCAGGCCCACCATACAGAGGGTGGACGAGGCCTGATGTCAAGCATGATTTGGCGCGACGCGCCCGCCACCATACAACAAGTCTGCAGGGCACGGCAGCCCAAGTTGTTGGCATTTGTCCTGGAGATCTACTTCTTGCAGCCTGCTCAGACAAGTGAACCGACCCAGCAGTCTCAGCGCGATAAGCAATTTCCGTCATGCGTATAGCAAGGGTGTGGCTGGCATCGCTTCCAGTCACCCGAGCGGACCGTGCCCAGGCCATCAACGACACAGAGACGGAAGGGCGTCCACGAGAGGAGAGACATGCAATTTCGTGGTTCTTTCACGGACCTAAAAAGGGCAAGGGCCGCCTGTCGATGTGGGATTTGCTGCATCCCCAAAGACAAATCGAAGCAGCTGCAGGAGCTGTTGCCACTTCTGAGAGATCGCCCTCTCCGACTTCGCTTTATGCGAAAGGGTAGCGACTGTGCCCTGGCGAGCATCTACATTCATTCAGTATCAATTATACATTTGTGCGATGCTGACTCGCCGGACTCGGTGCGTGTGGCTGACCAGGCTCAGTGGCGACAGGGACAATGACGTTCGGGACCGTTTAGGGAAGACGACTATAGCCACTGGCCAGCCGGTGTCCCCGGTGGACGCAATGCGAATACGTTCTGGCCAGCATGAAAGCAATTCCATCCGCGGTGTTCTTGTAGTGGCTTGCTCTACTACTTGTAGCTGCGGTGGCTGTATTCGAAGGTTCGGTCTTTAAGCAATTCTGCACGCCTCCTTGGCATCGAGTTTGAGTTCAGCTCATCATGCTTTTCGATTAGGCTTGCGTTGGTCGACGGTTTTTCCACCTTCTTTACAAACACCCATTCCCTGCTGCGTGCCAGGACTCCGAACCATTCGTCAAAGAGCATTACTGCCAAGCAAACCCAACCGGCTCTGAAAAGGAGTGAGTCCCCTGGTTGCACTTCTTGCCGATTCTTGTTGAAGCCCATGCGACACTACCAGCAGTTTTCGGAGACAATCCTTCTAAGCTGTTCTCCTGCAAAACCGCCATATGGTGCAGGCTGGGAAAGGTAGCTGCTATCAAGAACGTCGATGACAGCCGCGGCCGCGAGGCAGCTACGTAGCGAAATGCTCAAGCATCACAACAACTGCGGCGGCCCACGACGACGACAACCCTGACTGCGACCACGAAGCCTATGTCGACGTGTCTAACTACAACAACAACAACAACTACGACTACTACTACTACTACTACTACTACTACTTCTACTACTACTAATACCCCTATTTGCTCCTGCCATTACTCATACTCCTACTCCCACTCCGACTCCGACTCCTGCTCCTCCTACTCCTGCTCCTACTCCCACTCTCACTCCCACTCGCACTCGTACTCCTACGCCTACTCTTACTCCTACTGCTACTGCTACTTTTGCTCCTACTGCTGCTCCTCTTCCTTCTACCGCTACCACGACCGCGGCTGCTGCAGCTGCTACTCTTATCCGGTCGCCCACCCCTACCTACGACTGCTCCTATTCGTGCACTTACTCCTGCTACTTCTGCTCCGACAACAAGTACTACTACGACGACTACTGCTACGACGACGACCATGGCGACGACAACAACTACTACCCGCGGTGTGCCTATGTGGATTAAGAAGAGCAGCACAGCCTGCAAACCGCAGTATGTTGCTTGTTTTGACGGTAATGATGGCTAATACCTCCAAATCCAGAACAAGTGGATGTTTCAGACATCCAGTAGCTTCGCAAACGTCTGGAATCTGATGATGGAGGTTGGTGATGATGATGTCGATGTCAACGGTTTTGGTGACGACAAAGGATGATGACGATGATGGTGATGCTCATGACAATGATTGCTTTATTTGTATCTGCTTGCCCTAGGCACCTCACCGCTTCCCTTGCTCTGACGAACGTTTTTTTTGATGTGACCCTTGGGCTCAGTGGCACCCCAAACGGTTTCGAATCTGCGAAGCTGCCGGGGCAAGGAAAATGCTTCACAGCAAAATGCAGGGCTTTGATATTTTCAGTCTTGGCAAATCGTGCTCATGCTTCAGTACGTCAGTGAAGCCACACAAGTGGGTCGGAAAGCCGCAAGATCCGACAGGATTCACTTATTTTGCACGGTGGCGAGCCTGAACAGCGAACTAAGCCTGCCTTGATACGACTGCGGGAGGCCAACTTGACCAATGCTTGGGCCGACTCACCCGTATCTGTGGTTCAGGCGCCAGCAGAGCAGAGCTTGACTTGGTTTACCTCTTCACTGCCGCACTTCGCGTCGCTTTCCGCATTTTCGCTCAGGGCCGCGCAGCCCCCGACTCGCCGAGGAAGATCTCCTCGCGACACATAGGCCCTTCAGCTCAGCATTGAGAGAAGGCGTAGGCTAGCAGAGCATGGCCGGGTGCAGGTCTCTAGATTATTGGACATGTTTGACTCAGTAAGAGTAACCCTCCACCAAGAGGCAAGCTCAAATTTGCATGCGATAATCTCAAATCTTTGGCCGTATAAAGGAAGAGTTCGCAGGAGGAATGGCTAGCCCCCGTCGGCTGAGGTCGAAGAGATGGGCGTGCTACCTCGAAAGGCGAGGTAGAAGCACAGAGCTACAGCATAAGTGTGACAGGC